GACGATGTTTTGCAATGACGAAGATCAGGAATGACATCATTTAATGTTTGTTTTAAGTCAGTGGATTACAAGCAGCAAATACTAACATTTTCCTGTTGGATCATGTACACAGTAATGGTTTCTGAGACACACTGGTCCAGACTAGGCCACTGGAAGCCTTTGTGGTGTCCAGCTTCATCTGGGAAGGCTGCTCTGATGGCGTCCACCGCACAAGATGGCAGAGGTCTCAGAGGTCAGAGGATGTCTCGCCCAGTGATGCCGTGTGTCCATCGGATCATCCGTCTTTAAGCAACATAACGATTCCGTCTGCAAAATGAAGAAGTGGAATAGTCAGCAATGTTACAGATTTGTCTTTGTTAGCGGGAATTTTTAATGACCATCTTCAGTAGCACTTCGTCAAATATGGATGGTGACAGTGATGCACTGTTGCTAAACTTAATACTCATGACATTAGCGGATCAGTATGTTCTGACTCACTGAACTGCAGATGTAGAGGTCCATGTTGCTCCTTAAATGCTTGATAAGCCAGCATCAACACAAAAGGATTCAAGCAGCAGCCCTCAAACCCAGGATGGCCCGTTACACAGAGGAGATGTGGTTCTGGTGGGTCCAGAATCAACAAGAACTCCCTGAATGGTTCCAGTTCCTGTGAATAATGCTGTCCATTGGCCCACGCTGGCCACACCCACACCTAAATAAGCAAATGAAATGAGAGAATGATCATGACAGAAAACTTTATCCCACAGAGCATTACATTATGACCAGTGTCTGTCATTCATACAGCACAGTAAGTTACTTATTGTTAAAATGTCTACTTAAGTAAAGCTACAGTAGGTCACAGTTTTAAGGTGGAGACTTTGTGGGACATCAGATCTGCAACGTTTCATTTGTACAACCAGAATCCCAGACTGTATGAAAAGGTTTGTGGAGGGATCATGAGTAACGTCATCAGCCTAGAATCTTTCTGCTGAATCACGAGGATATTTTACATGGATGGCTTCCCAGGCTAGGCTAATGTAATAACCGCTAATGAAACAAAGCTAATTTAACAAAGGGGTGCTAGGGCTATGAAGAACTTTGATCCAAACGAACCATTTTTAATTTGAGTTTAGTAATTCTTTAAGTTATGTGGCTAGGTATTTGATGTAATCTGTCAGACGGCATTTTCTGTCGAAATATCTTTAAAAATAAAACATGCTCTTACCAGTTAGCATCTCCAAGTCGGTGTCCATGTTGAAGTTCCCACGTTTCTACAGCTCTTCTTTCACCATTTAAATGACCTCTGCGTTGCCCGTTCTCATCCCCTCTTGCTGCTGGTTCAAACCTGTATGGCTGTGCACCTTCAGTATTATAAATAACTGTAAATTCGTGTTCAAATTCTGGCGCCTCATCCTGCTGCTGTGAATCCACTGCTTAGTAGAGTCGGAAATGTTTTCCCTCCGTGCGCATCACTTCCGGTTTCCAGCTAGAGGTGCCGTTTTAAACCGGATTAGCTAGGTAAGCAGAGCTGGATCATTAATAACTCGTTTTACTTTCAAATATCTTCCTTTTATTCAATGAAAATATAAAGTTTAGGCATATTACTATACAAGCACTTCAACATGTGTTTAAAATGAAAGATGGCCTTTAAATAGTAATTAATCAAACAACGCGTGGTTCAGTATTTGTACTGAAATCCAGTTGGATTTAATTCCATTACATAATATAAAAGCCTTAAACAACGAATTTCAACTACTTGAATTTGCCGTTTTCTTTCCAGTCTGGGTGTTTCAGAGTCAGAAAACCCCTAGACTGTCTGCTTCTCGCTTGCCGTGAGAAAGCCCTTGGCCACCTCGGGGGAATACACGCTCGAGATAAGTATCCAGGTACGATTAAATACAATCCAGGGGAAAAGGGACTGTGCTTTCAAAGCCACTGTAACAGCTGGGCCAATCAAAGCAGTCTACCTTCCCTCTAAAAACTCGTCCACAAAGCCCGTCCCCTGGACACGGAGCTGCTGGCCAAAACTTGTGGAGCACTGTGGGAATTCTCCTCCAAGGCCACAGTGCACAAAACGCCATTATAGAGGAGCCCTTGGACGACAGTGAGGGGCTTCATTTAAGGCGGTAATGGGACAAACGACATGTCATCATTCTCATTTCAGCAGGAAAACCAGGGTTCTGGAATCTGTTCAGATTTAAGCTGAGATCTTTACTCATTTTCTCTGTTAAAATGTCCAATTCCCCACACGGGCCTGAAATCTAGATCATCTTTAAAGCGTTTAATGACACTCATGATCCGACGGATGTTTTGGGGCCACTTTGAACTGAAAACCATTTCTCTGTGCTCACCTGAGAGGTCGTGACCCCCAGAGCATCAAGGCCACATCAGAAGAGGAAAGGGGATAGGCGCGTATTCACTTCTAACCGAGCGTGTCCGACACCCCCCATAACATCCCACACGCAGTCACGCCAATCCCTGACCTCTGACCCGCCCGAGGAACCCAGCACCAAACTGGGACCACAGACACCTGCATTCATAAACGTGACGGAAAAGAGAGTCAAAAGGAGAGACGCTGATGGGGATGAGGGAACGTTAAACCAGCTGATAACGCAAAACCCCCAAAAACCAATCTGTCAGCTTAATGCTTGAGGTTGGTAGGGTAGGTGTGTTTAAATATATATTTAAATAAAGCTACCTGCTGTATCGGTTTTCCAATCAGAGAATTCCCAGAACAAAGGGTTCATTGAGCAGTGAGAGAGTGGTGGCATTGTCTCTCAAAGGTTAGTCGTCCCCCCCCCCCCAGCCAGGGCCTACACCTTCCTTCAGAAACCCCCCCAGACACTCTGCCAGGGTTAAGTGGAATGCAGTCGACGACAGAGAGCGAAGGCGATTATTGGGAAGCAGCGGGGTCATTCCAAAATTTATTCCACATTCTTTAAATGTGCCGGAGACACTGTAGCTATTGTTGCACGCCGACAGGTGCTCGTCGGAGTCGGAGCAGATGTTTTTCACCTGCGCTGCCCGTTTCTGGATCCTGGCTCACGAGGTTTCATCGTCCTACAGCGCTAGCATCAGTCCTGTGGAGGCACCCGTGTTGAAACGTGCAAATGCAGAACACTTTTTAATGATACGATAATTTCTACCACATGAATGATGTTGATTTTACCAAATAAACATGCTGAGGGTTTGATTTGAATTGAACTTTTTCCTCTAAATTACAGCTTAAACTATTTAAAGATAAAATAAACCAAACTGAAATAAAGTGGTTAAAAAAATGTTCAACTTAGCGCGGGTGGACTCAGGCTCTGCACACACGTAGCCGAGTATCCCACAAAACAACGATATTTTTATTAAATTTGGTCCGTCATCCACGAGAGTAAAGTACGGTGGCCCTGAAGTGCAAACCACAAAATCAAATCACTAAACGAACAACAAATTGAAAAGCACAACAACAAATTCACTAAACACAAAACCAAATAGAAAACCACAAAAACAAAACCCAAACCGGAAAAGGAAGGTACCAACGCTGCAACAACAGCATCACTGACTGGATGATGGATCCGTTGGCCTTTTGAACCGGAAGTTGTTCTGCCGAACGTGTTTTTTTTTTAACTTTATTTAACAAACAAAGAGTATACAACAGTGTCCGAATCATCGACATACATGTGTGCGAATCCACAGGCAGGATGCTTACGAGTACGGGTCCTCGCCAGACCGCTAAGACCGGAACCAGCGGCTCTGAATTCGGACAGTCTAGCCTTCACCTCTACGGTGGCCCGTAGGTCCCGTCACAGCCGCGGCGGCAGCTACACGCAAAGGAAAAATGCTAAAGCTAGCGAAAATGGAGCAGGAATATTAAGGAGCTGCAGCAGCTTCACGTCCATCGGCAGCGTTTGTTCACAACCGTTTTCAGGTAAAGTAACTTTGTTTATTCTAGAAACTTTCAGGACTTACATGTTAACTTTAGATGGTTTCATGTATGTTTTAAGCTACAGAATGAACTTGTTAAACATACACAACACATTACTACAGAGTATTATCATGTAGGTAAAAAAAAAACACGTTCGGCAGAACAACTTCCGGTTCAAAAGGCCAACGGATCCATCATCCAATCAGTGATGCCCGTTGTTGCAGCATTGGTACCTTCCTTTTCCGGTTTGGGTTTTGTTTTTGTGATTTGCACTTCAGGGCCACCGTAGTAAAGTTAAACACCATCAAAAACTCCAACCGAAGCAGAAATTTGTGGATTCTCCTTCGTCAGCATTTGCTTGTGGACGTAAATAACCGAGGTTGTCGGTTTGGCAAAGTCACTGCCCACAAAAACAATTTCAACCCTAGCTTTTTCTTCCAGATTGGTGGTGAGGGGTATTTGGTTTTACACAATAAAAATAAAAAACAGCTACGTGTGTGCCCGGCCTCAAACGGTCATAAAACTGTTCTTGTGGAAAAATATGAATTGTGATAAAAAAGAGCAATTTTAACACTCCGCTTCCACAAACGGACGTTTTATATCTTCACTGTGCTCGCTTGTCTAAAACTTGATTGGTTACCTGAAACAGAGCTAGAGGTCGACCGATATACGAGTTTTATCAACTGCCGATTTTTAGGGGTCGATTTTCACGGCCTACATCTAGATATTTTCCACCTTAATTTCACACTAAAATGTCATTAATAACATCGGTTTATGCACAAAATGCCTGAAGCCGAATCAGTTTTTGAACTCCGAACTGTTAAATCTCAACTTTGTGCACTGCTCAGTGTAAAAATCAGACACCTAAATAAAGTTAATTTAGAGTAGTTGTTATGCAGATGGTATTAGTCAACGTAAAAATACATTTAAATTAAATTCAGCAACAGCACAGGGCTGCCCGAGGATGTGCCTGACTTAAATCGGTCTTACTAAGGATACATATCAGCCGATGTATAAAACTTGGTAGATATTGGCCGACCGATATGGGTCAACCCCTAAAACGGAATCAAAGCCTGCAGTGATTCAACAGTAACTATGAAGAGCTTACCTCTGAGGAAGCTCCGGTTCTGGACAGTCCTGATAGTATCGGATGAAGAACCTTTCAGCGTCCTCCCTCTCACCACGAGACACCGCACTCCCATTCAAAACCATCACAGATGGCAGCCTGGGGGTGGGAGAAAAGGTCCCACGGGTTCATCAAATATTTAGATCATTAAATACTTAATGAAACGATCTGCTCCTGCATGAAGACGAAGCTTGTGGAGGCGGTCTTACTGTGCTAAGAGGAGGCTCCGTCTCTCCTGGCTGCTGTAGGACTGTAATAACGGAATCCCCTGTGCTTTCACCTCCTCCAGTTTAGGAAAAAAGGTCAGTTTTTCTATGTCTTCCCATTTACTAAGCCCTGGGTTTATATAAATCACAGTCAGTTTGTATCTTAATGCAAACAATTATTTAAATCTACAATCCAACCTGAGTTGTTAAGGTTGATGCTGCGAAGGTTGGGGAATAGATGCTCCAGTGTTTCCTTGGTATCTTCCACAGAGTTTATGCTGTTATTGGCCAGAACCAGCGTACTCAGTCTGGGATACAGCCGCCCAAACTTCCTGACTTCTGCCCAGTCCTGCAGCTGGTTGTCTGTGATCTGTAGGAGGCTGAGAGACGAGCAGGATGCCCGGGACTCTGACACGGTGTTGTAGCCATTCAGGCAGAGGAACAGCTCCTTCAGCCTGCAAACGAGGCGGCGGAGTGAAAAACGGAGCAGGAAATGCACACAAACTTCCCCAACGTCAGATCTGAGGCGTTCACTTACTCTGGTGTGTGCTGAGTCAGCGTATGAACGGTGTCCCAGCTGACTCGTGTGTTGATGAGGACGAGTCGTCGGACTCTGAAGAAGACGTCGGCCATGCTGGGCTCCAAATGCACGCTGCTCAGGGGGTTCATGCTTAGGTTGAGGAAGTCGAGTTGAGGGATGTTGGAGACAATTGTGCTGATCTGTCGAAACCACGGACATCTTAGAACGCAGCAGCAGCGGACCACGTGACCTGGTTCTGCGCCGATACCGTAAGGATTCAGACAGCGCGGACACCAGTTCTGCTTCACCGCTACATGGACTTCATCCATGTTAGCCGCTTCTACTACTCAGGTGAGGGCAGGGCACCATGCTACGTATTTTCGTATCAGCATGTGACCTTAGTCTTAGACCGATACCTGATGCTGGCTTTAGTGTATCCCTGATATTTTTTATTCCCCAACACAAAAAGCAGACCAGAGTTGTTCTATAAGATGCTGGAGCATCGACACCACGCTGCAAGTGCGTGAGATAGTCACACTGCAGGTCTTGCAGGAGAGGGGGGGGGGGCAGTTTTTCTCCTTTTAAAAGAACCAGAGGGACGTAGTTACTGTGAGTCCGTGAGGTTGCCGCTGCGGCGTTGGCGTTTCTAATTCAACACCAGCAGGCAAAAAGCTCCAGAGTGGTTTAAAGAACCAAAATCAGTAAATAGGAGCGACCCAGAAGTTATTTCTGCCTCCCTAAGAAGCTAAAATATCTTTTTGTTTTACTCCAATATCCAGTGAAGCAGGCTAGAGGCTAACGTTGAGCTAACAATGCTAACGGTGAATTATAAGTAAGCAGTCAGCTCCAAGTCGTTCAGAACAACAGCAGCAAGCTAACAGCAAGACGACAACCAACCACACTTCTTCTAATCTCACACATATTACCGTAATAAGTGTAGTTAGTTCTCCCTACCGGTCCGTTAAACACCAAAGAGTGCCAACACCAGCTATGGCAATGTATTCATCTACTCATGAACTTACCGAGTATGACTCGTTTTCACTTCTAGAAACTTCTGACGTGGACCTGTAACCGGCAACGGCCATGAAACTCACACAAAGGCAGGGGGAAGTGATTATTTGGCTTAGAAAAATGGACTGCAGTAACCAAATTTGACCACAGGATGTCCTTCTTACTCCATTCTTATACAGCATACGCTGTTGATCAAAGGTTTTTAACAATTATGAGGATGCTAACGGATGTTCTGATGAAAAATTTGCAAGGAGGAAACGTGTGAAGGAAACTCGGCAGATCTTCAAATTTTATGCAGTTCTGTAAGACTGGTGCTGTGGACCAGTTATTTTATTAGAGGGCATTAATTGGACCCGTATGAACGTAAAAAGACCGTTTTATTTGAGATCGCTCTTTCCTGTCAAAGGCGTGAGCCTTAGAACAGTTTGTCTGATGTTCTTTTGCATTTCTGAGTAGTTTGACAAAAGCTTTTAGTGCGTCTACAGTTTTGATTTTAATCATGTTGAAAAAAAAAATGCCGATTTAATCCAGAGTGTAATTTATCTCCTGGTTAAAGACCAATAGGTTACTCATCAACCAGAAGGCAGGAGTGCAGCAGAACTTGAAGTATTTTAAGTCATTGGCTGAACAATCCTGCATTTTTTAACATCGTGCAGCATTGATGCAAAAGAAGTGCCTCCCCTTTCGTTACCGAGGTCTCATTTGCTGCATGGAATCCAGTTCCTCATCATGGATATTAGTGTCAGCAGCGTTAAAGCCGTCGACCCTTCTTGTTAACAGAAAAGCATCGATCTTCCAGCCTTCGGTTCGATAACCTGTGTATTTACAGGAGAAGCAGCTTGAACCACTCTGGTCTGACCCAACACTGTGGACACAGCATGGTCCATTCTGGTTGGCTCACAGACTAAAGCTATCGTTTAACAGAAAAGCTCCCCCTCAGAAGTAAAACATGACAGGAGTTAGAGCCACTAAACATTTTAAGTTGTAGAAATAAGCCTGATGTCATGGACTCGTCCATAGAATGGCAGGAGGACACCCACCTCTCCCCAGTCGTTGAGCTGATTGTGGGACAAGTCCAGCTCCAACACGTGACCACAGAAAGCTGCGATGTCCGACCGGTCGCCGGCCTTACTAATCCCACAGTTGTTCAGAACCAGAAAGCTGGGCAGGAAGAGGCGATCTGCAGCAAAGGGGAACTCTAGTCAGTTCAACCGGACTCCAACAGGCGGCGAATGTCGAAAACGCCAGTCGATGGGTGGACGCCTCTCACCTTTAACGGGGGACCCTGGAGGGCTGGGCAGGACCACGACCCCCTGGCCATAAGGGAAGTTCTCTGGGTTGTACTTCTCACTGATGACTTGGACAAAAGTGCGCGACTCCTCTTCGTCAGAGGAATCCATGGTTCTGTAAGCTAAGCATCAACAGGAAGAGACGAAGAAAAAGCTTTTCAGACACTTTCTAGTAGGGATGTAAGAAAATATCGATATGGCAATATATCGTGATATTTTCCCCAACAATATTATATCGATATTCAAAAGCCGTGTATCGGAAATATCGATATGGCAATATATCGTGATATTTTTTCCTGCGATTATTACATCGATATTCAAAAGCCGTGTATCTAATTCCTGAAAGAATTTACATGCAAACATTTGTGTATTTTCTTTTTGTTTTGCACAATTCAATCGCCACCCTCTAGTTGGCAGCAGTGTGCAGCGGGTTTTGTTTCCACCACTCAAATGTAAATCCCTCCATCATGGTTCAGATACCTCATGTTAAACATGTTACGTATCAGCTTGGACTGTTTATTGAACATTCTTACAATAAATTCAGTAAAAAAAATTGCTTGTTATGTCTGACTGAATGTATCGCAATATATCGTGATATATCGTATCGTCTCCCCTGTATCGTGATATGTATCGTATCGCCAGAATTTCAAAAATACACATCCCTGCTTACTAGTTTCTTCAGTTTGAACAGTTTTTCTGTTCTGATCCTCCGCAGCAGTCAACCATAAACCCGTCTGATCCAGCTCAGTGTCACAAATTAGAACAAGGTAGATTTGTGACCCAAAACAAACACACGTGAACACACACTGGTTTTTCATGCATCCTGCAGCAGTAGAATCAACTCAAACCCACTCAGTGTCTGCGTTCTGATAAAGAAGGAACATGTCAACCACGGAAAATGTGCAGCTCACTGATATGATTTCATAAGTTTCTAAGGAACCGTGGAGGTCTTTACTACCGAGAAACAAGCTGCAACACAGAAAACTCACAAATGAGCTGCTCCTTCATGGAATCAGCCCAAACTGATCAGTATTTATACTTTTATCCTACACAAAAGACACGTGCAGACACCTCTGCATCCTTCAGGTAAACCGAAACACCCACCCACTTCCTACATGAGCCTTCTCTGCTCTCATAGTTACGATTCTCCTGTCATTTACAGAGCTGGTTTATGAATGCATCTTTGACCTTTTTCCAACTAAAGTACATGTCCTATCGCACAATACTGGCCAATTTATCAAGTTTCCCTGCAGGTCAAAGATTATGCCAACAAACAGCCTTCTATATGACTTATTAGAAGCCGCCGTGAAGAGGGTTGCGCCCTGCGAGTGCACGGTCGATCCCCAACACAAGGCAAAACCTTCAGCTGCAAGAAAATAAAATATAAATCCAAAACACTGCAAAGGTTTTAACACCCAGCAAGTCTACATCTGCATTTTAACTCAACTAAATGTATTTATGAGTCATTTGAACCACTGGAATACAATCAGGAAGGTCATTTAAGGAAAATAACTTTAAATACACGCACTTAAACACCTTTTGAGACCGTTTATAGTGTAGAAAACCCTAAAAATGCAAGTTACTATTAATTTGTTCAGGTTTTACACATGCTGTATCCATTCATTTAGATTTACAATATTTTGTAATTCACCCCGACTTTGGCCCCTTGTTGACTCTGACAAGACCAAGAAGTTTCTGATCATTTTAAATTCAGTCCACCTGGACTCTTCCTGATATTTCTGTCAAAGTTTCCATCCCCAGTCCGTACCTGCTGTGTTGCAGAGACCAAAGGAAAGGTTGTTTTCAGCAGCAAATCATATCAGAGGTCTCCATCACTGCTGAGGAAAAAACAAAAACACACTAGGGCAAAAGAAAGCTCAGACTTTACAAAGCAAACCAGCGAAACCTGCATTACAAGGCAGACAACAACAAAGCCAAGTGACATCTGTGCTCCTGCACCTACAAGATGTTAGTCTAGACAAAGGCACTTGTCAGAAATCTGAGATGTGATCTACCGGTTAAATAGTAAATTAAAACAAACAAAACTTGATCAAGTTGCATTTTTCTGTTTAAAAATGATTTTAAACAGCACAGTTATGAAACTAGAAAATGTAAGGTGCCACAAAACCGTCTTTAGTCCCATTTATCACAAAAAAGGCAGGAAGTCATTCCCTCGTTAAAACTTATTCTTTAATCATGCTCTCTACTGCCCACTGCTGAGCAGTTGTGGGACTGCAGGGAATTTTTGTTTTCTTTTAGTAAAAACAACAGACCTCGACTGATAAATAAACCCGATTAAAACTCCAGTCGACACCAGAACATAAAGCTCATAAATGTCGCTGCAACATTTGAATGCATTTCATTAAAAGCTAATTCGTGTTGAAACGCGTTATTTTTAAACGGGTAAAGGCGAACACGAGTGCAGGACAACCAGCGCAGCTCGGGGGCTTAGCAGAGCAGGCTGGACAAAAGCCTGGGAGAAAATATTTTAGACTAACATGTTAATGGTGTTAAATGTGCATTTTTACAGTAAAGTCCAATGGAAACGACGACCTTGAAGCGTGTCTGAAAACACAGCATTTCACATTCAGCTGCGAAAAGCTAAAACCGTACGGTGGCGGCTGGAGGCGAGTCGTTTTCCGGACATTCACACTTAAAGTTTTGTTTATATTTGAAGGTCTAAGACGGGAACTTCTGTAACCGCCGTACTCACCAACCCCGGAACGCTGTCGTCGTTCAGTTTGTTGTTGTTTTTCTTCGGTTAGAGTGACAGCTTAAATACGCCCACTTTACCGGACGTGACGTAGTTTAAAAGTCTTCTAGCTAAAAGGTAACAAAAGGGTCATAAATAATAATAATAATTATATATATATATATATTTGCCATAAATCAAAAAGAAGAAAATCATAACTGAATCTTATATTGTTTGTGGCAATGTCAAATAAGCTTAGCGGTTTTGGAAAATGTATTCAATTTAATATAAATGTCAATTTAAAGTTAAAATTATAATAAAACCGAAAAATACTATTGAGCATATTATCTTTAATTTTATTTTAAATAAGTAAATAACTTAAGTTAAACAGTACAGACTGAAGTTACCACATTTGGCCATGAGGTGACAGTTTTGAATTCACGATCAATTGAACATTGGTCCTTTGAATTAAAATTTTACAAGTTATTATTGATTATTTTCCATAAATTAAACTGTGTATCTCGGGGTCTTGTTCAGGAGTGAGGGAAAACTGGAGCGTGAGATCGACAGGCGGATTGGTGCTGCATCTGCAGTGATGCGGGCGTTGTACCGGTGTGTCGTGGTGAGGAGAGAGCTGAGCCAGAAGGTGAAGCTCTCGATTTACCGGTGGATCTACGTTCCTACCCTCACCTATGGTCATGAGCTTTGGGTAGTGACCGAAAGAACGAGAACGCGGATACAAGCGGCCGAAATGAGTTTTCTCCAAAGAGTGGCTGGGCTCTCCCTTAGAGATAGGGTGAGAAGCTTGGTCATCCGGGAGGGGCTCGGAGTAGAGCCGCTGCTCCTCCACATCGAGAGGAGCCAGTTGAGGTGGCTCGGGCATCTGGTCAGGATGCCTCCTGGACGTCTCCCTGGTGAGGTTTTCCAGGCACATCCAACTGAGAGGAGGCCTAAAGGTAGACCCAGGACACGGTGGAGGGACTATATCTCACGGCTGGCCAGGGAACGCCTTAGGATTCCCTCCGAGGAGCTGGTCCAAGTGGCTGGGCAGAGGGAAGTCTGGGCCTCCCTGCTTAGGCTGCTGCCCCCATGACCCGACCCTGAATAAGCGGCAGAAAATGAACGGATGGATGTGACTTTAATCCATCAAAGCAAGTTTTGGTGTCATCTCATGAAAATAAAGAACTCTCATGATTACATTGAGAACATTTCTTCTGCGTTTATAATTTCAGACATATTTTAGCTGTGATAGAGATCACAGGTTACAAAAATCAATAAAAACACGTAACCAGGAGGAAGAAAATGTTCCACCGAAGCAATCAGGTGACTCAGGTAACCCAGAACAAACCAGCACTTTCTAAAAAGAGATGATGTCACCTGCAGCCAATCTGGGGAAACTTTCATGATCGACCTGAGGACTGTTGGGCTAATCCTAGCTGATGAGTCTGTAACAAGAGTATTAAAGAGCGTAAGGTTGGTTTGGTTCATGGTGTGTGTGTGTGTGTGCGTGCGTGCGTGCGTGTAGTGTCAAAGGTACCATGAACCTAGACAGAGTGGGTAAAGAAAAGACCAGATGAAGAGGAGTGGCCTCCTAATCCAGAACAATCCCATGAGTCAGCCTGAGTCCTGGTGACTACCAGATTAAGAGCCTCGCAGAGGTAGAGGGAATATAAATTGACCCAGATGAAGCGTTCTGAATCAGATTCAGCATCAAACTGTCTCATGAAAAGAAAGTTGTCTTCCCTGTTGGATGTGCTGGATTTAAAACAGAGAGTGGATCAGAAAAATGGCGCTCCTGAAGTCAGGCTGGTTGTGGAGACAAAGTAAGCAAACTTGTACTTTTATCTTGTACTTTTACTTCTTGTACTTGTACCTTTATCTTAGAAGTAAAAAAACAAACAATTTCTTTAGTTTGCATTATTTTTGTTAAAATTTTCTTTTGTAAAAGTAAAATAATGAAAAATGCACACACACACCAGTGTCTCTAGAGTTTGATTTTCTAGAATAATATTTTGTAATCAAAGGTTTTCACATAAAATAAAACGTAAAGCGCGTCCTGTGGGATCCTGATAATTTTTTGACTTTATTTATTCATGCCGTTTATTATAAAACTAGTGAGAAAACAGATGAGCAACAATACATAACCAGCTCTTAGATTTCAACCAAATCTGGTTATAGATTAAAATAAAATTCACCAACTTACATTTATTTCTTTGCAGGAACTGTAATGAAGGTTTATAAATATAATAAAAGGACCAGATCACATTCTAAAGAAGTTTCTAGCTTTCATTTGCATGATATAAAACACACGTTTTAAATGAAAAAGCAACCTCAGATGCTCCACAATGAATCTAATATTGAATTAGAAGAAGATTTTGATCGTTAAATGAATCATTAACTCATTATTGAATTGTACATTCTAATTTTTCAAAGAAACACGGTCACAACGTGTTCTGAGAAGCACATTCTTTCATTTATGAGAAAATAAAAAATAAGTCATATTTTAATGGAACATATTGTAACGTATGTTTCTGTACAGCATAATTTCTACATTGGTATAGTTATTTTAATCTGCATGAAACACTAGAAGGAAGCAAAAACCTGCATTTGTTTTGAAACTCTGTCATAATCCCGTTAATCGTCCTGCAGACTTGTCTTTAAGTGGCTTACGAGGGTCATCCTTGTGTGTGTCTGGAGGAAAAAAGATCCCAAATAAATCCAGAACAAATAAATGTGACAGAAAAACTTTACTCTTGTGATTTTAACTGGGTCCAAAAAGGTTGGTGTAGACACTGGAGACTGAATTACTTCAGTAACCCTTCAGTTCCCCTTTAACAGTACTAAACTTCCTATGATGGTCTCTGACTGCTCTGTAGCTGCCGTCCTGAAGCGCTGGAAGCTGAACTGGTGTGACCTCTGGATAGATGGGAGCCTTTGCTTTTATAAGAGTGACAACAGGCGGGATTTGGAGCAGAGAGTCAGCCTGAAGATGGCGTGCATCGACGTGCGGACCGGCCTGGAATGTGGAGGTACATCCTAGACCGGTGGTGTCCAAGTCAGCCAGTGCTTCTTTAGTGTTGGAGCTCAGAAACGTGCCGGATAGCGCACCTGCAGATCAGAGCTACTGTTTGTTAAATTCCTTAAAGAGCAAGTCACCCCCAAATAAACTATTTTTTTCCCGATAAACTAAATAAATGCGTGTCTAATCGTGCTGCAGACACGTGTGGTCAACAGTTTTGCACTTTAGTGCATTTTAGTTACAATTTAAATTTTCTGCCTAAAACTGTCAGTGTTGTGCCGTTGTCAGGTAAAAACTCTGCACTGTATTTGAATTAAAATCTGCCGTCGCTATTGGCTAAGAGCTACCCTAGAATGTTAGCTGGTATCATATGATGTCACAATGTCATTGTGAGTCTGTGTGTGTGTGTATTTGTTACCGGCTCCGCCCTCTCAGTCTGCTAGGAAACAAAATTTGTTGCATTTTTCAAACAGGAAGTGGGAGTGGAGTAATACTCTGGTAGGGGTGACTTGCTCTTTAAAGTAAAAAAAACAAACAAAATAACTGACTCTTATTGTCAGATTTGTAAGCCGACATTTCAACTTTAACAGCTAATCAGTGATGCCAGTAACATGTTACTTAGTAATTACTCTAAAACAGGGTTTCTCAACGGGGGCTGTAGCACCCCCAGTGGGCGTTCAGACTATATAAGGGGGTGGCGAAAGTTTTTTGCCACTGAAGGGGGCGCTGAGATGCTAATGGTGGGCGCTAGCGATACAGGGCATTCATAACAGACAATGGCTCCGAATAAAAAGAAGTGTTGACAGTACAATGTGGACTACCTCCGGTATGGATTTATTCCTTCACCCACGAATCCACAACTCCCCATGTGCCTGCGAACACGTGTTTTCAAACGAAGCAATGAAACCCTCCCGGCTTAAGGAGCACTTGTCCCAAATGCATCCAGACAAAGCTTCAAAGGAACTGAATTATTTTCAGGTAAATAAAGAGAGACACTCTAAGAGAGGTAGCATTAGCAGTATGTTTGCTCGAAGCTCGAATTTACTGGACCGAGGATTATTAGCTTCCTACAATAGCTAATAATTGTAGCTATTGTAGGAAAAGTGGTCATTTTAGAGTCTAAAATGACCACTTTTCCCAATAATGGTTAATGTAATGCATTACTATTTGTCCAAGACACTACGCGCTACTTTTTTTTGTAATTTTCGTTAGCAGAAAAATATTTCGGCAGCTATCAAGCCAAAACCGGTGATGGGAGCAAGATGCTTGTAGCCAGCAAGAGCACAGATATCCAGGAAAAGCAGCACACCATTTCACTAAACTACCGAACGGCACAGTGGATAGCGGGGTAGCATTCCGTAGATGCCTATTGGGGGGGGGGGGGGGGGGGGGGGGTGCACACCACTGGAGTACAAGATGAATGGTTCTCTACAAAGACTCGGCTCTCATCGTTCACTTTTAAAACCCGTTCACGAGATTTGATTCGTTCGTGAATGTCACATCACTACAAAACTAGTTGTTGATTTAATGTTGAGGCAGTGGGGAGTGTTACTGGCAGCTGCTGAAAATAGTTCACAAAGTAATCTTGTAATCTAACTTAGTTACTTTTGGAAGGAATAATCAGTAGTCAGTAATCAGATTTCTATTTCAAGGTAACTGTGGCAACACTGCAGCTGAGAATAGTTACATTATGCAGAGTTAGTTCAATTAGTAAAAACCAGTAAAAAAAAATACTACATTTGTTGTTTTCTGTAATCATGGGGAAAAAAATTATTTCATAAAAATGACAATAAAAACCACAGGTAAATTCTAATAGTATCACAGTAAAACTAACAAAATCAGGCTAATCAATAACAGAAGTCATACAATTACATTTAGATTACCGTATAAATGACAGTAATTGGTTGGCAACAATGCAGCCAGTAGTGATTTACAGTTTTCTGTAAATGTTACTGTTCATTTTTAAACAATGTACACATCATATTCCTTTAAATATTTAGTTTATTAAGATCCTCGTTAGCTAATGCATGGCCAGTTGCTCTTACTGGGGTTTAAAGAGCAAGTCACTCCAAATCAACATTTTTTTTGCTGATAAACTATATAAATGATTGTGCTGCAGACACATGTAGTCAATAATTCGGCACTTTAGTGCATCTTAGTTAAAATTTAAATATTCTGCCTAAAACTGTCAGCGTTGCACCGTCGTCAGGTAAAAACTCAGCACTGCATTTGAATTAAAATCTGCCATCGCTATTGGCTAAGAGGTACATTATGATGTTAGATGGTACATAATGATGTCACAATGTCGTGTGTGTGTATTTGTTAGCGGCTCCACCCTCTCGGTCTGCTAGGCAACAGCATTTGTTGCATTTTTCAAACAGGAAGTGGGAGTTGAGTAAGAATCTGGTAGGGGGTGACTTGCTCTTTAAAGAACTTTTTGATGTAAAAAGGACTCAACACAATCAAACAACAGTTCTAAACAGACATCAGTTGTTGCAAATAAACAGTAAAGGATTCATAATGGTGCATTACTGCATATGTAAACTAATAATGACACCACCAGGGTCAGAATTTTTCCTGTGTAAAAAATTAAAGTAGCTTTAAAATAAAATAAAAAAGGTTTAATCTATCCCTGAAACCAACACTCGTGGAAATGAACCTCATGCCACCACAGCCTTGTGTTTTCTCGGCCAAACTGGGTCTGGTTTGTGAAACGTGTTGTGTTTACAGGTGTGACTCCACCTGAGAGCAATCCCAGGGAGAATCTGATCGTGGTCCATCTCAGAGACGGTTCCACGCTCAACCTGTGTGCAAACAGTGAAGACGAGTCTCTGTAGGTGACCACACACCAGCCCCGTCTAGTTTTAGTGTTCATCAGCTCCTCACTTGACTTAGCTTTTGTTTTCTTTATTTTCAGAGCGTGGAAACTTACTCTGCTTGAAACCAGAAGAAACCCGGTGAGTTCCTAACGGTAACGATAACAGCTGATCAGTTGACTCACTCCCAAGGGCGCCCCCAAGGGGTGTTCAGGAGTGGCCATGGCCACCCCAAAAAAATTGCTGGGCTTGCCCAAGAAAAGCTTGTGTTAATAAATCATATTAATGTTCAGTCAAACCATATATTGATCTTGTTTATTCAAGACATAATTGTAAAACAAAATAAAAATGTGCGGTCAAAGTCTTGATTATACGTCATTCGTATTTTAAATTAAAATAAAAACAAAAATAAACGTAAAAATTTGAAAAATAAATAAAATAATATAAGATAAAAAAGAATAAAAGAAACACGGGGTAGATGGTTATGGAAAACAGCTGGAACTAATGAAGGTCAGTGCGCGCGTCTCTCCACGTCTCAGTGCGTCATCGCGCATTTCCTGACATGTTTTATGTAGGACATGTCAGAGGAGAAAACTTGTTTTGAAAGTTCCCAGAGGATGAACCAACGCGGTGATCCTCCAAAGCGATGCAAACCAGATTCATCAAAAAGACTGGAGAGGCAGCCGGTAAGACGCCGATCTGTAACGCGCGTGTGTGATGCCGATCAGCTGATGGACGATTGTTTAGCGCAGCTCGGAGCTGGCAATGTGGACTCCGGTGCGCGTCATAAATGTTTGTGTTGGGTGTTTAGTAATCAACTTGGTGTTTGATTGTTAAATAAGTTATTTCAAATATGATAATTATTTAATGTTTTGATATAAAGTTGAATCATAAATAGTTGTAATGATTTCCATCTTAAATAATATGAAATGAGAATGAAATAAAGGAAAATGAAAAGTGAAGTTATGAAGTGGAATCCTGCACATATTTGTCCAGCTAGATGATCCCTTTCAGGTGGGGATTGTGTACCACACAAATAACTGAACAAAAAAATAATACAATTAATGAGTAAAGGTATGTTTCTGCTGCTCACCATTTTAAAAAAGTTTTTATCTCCATATTTTTTTGTGAATTAACCTGAAAAAATACATTTTTAAATGAAATTTGAAATAACATTTTAAATAACTAAAATGTATTTTTCTGAAATGTTTGATACGTACTGTTATTTTTTAAAAATAAAAGGAAATAAAGGAGCAATGCATCACCACAGGCTAAACTCTCCCAGAGTTACCACAAGGACCAATTTGGTGTGCCACCCCAAAAATGTATTTGGCCCCATCTGGCCACCCCATCAACATTTTCTGGAGGCACCCCTGCTCGCTCTGTCGAGTTTAAATATCTCGTTCACCAAGGAACCGTTTAATACTTGTTCTTTTTTTATGACTGGTCACTGTGAGTGAAAATTAGTAGTCATGGGCCACATTGGCTTGGGGTCACCCATGACAAGGAGACCATTAATAAATCCACAACATGGCAGAAGACCATTTCTGGAGATAAAACGTCAACGTTACATTTTTAACTCGAGACAGAAGAGCAAACGGATGCAAAGGAAGAATCGCGCTGCTGTAAGCCAATCAGAGGCAAGACATTTGCATATCAAAAATATTAATGAGTAAAACTCACAATCCTGTTTTTTTTCTCCCCCCCCCCCCCCCCCCCCACACACACACACACTCCTACGACTAACTTCCACTTCCAGAACAAGAGTATCAGAGCTTCTATCTAGAAAATGACTCCAAATGCATTCGTTCATTCCAGAGATAACAGATTTACTAAGAAAGCGAGTGAATGACAGCTTAAATACTTTGTTTTCCTTTTCTTTAGGTGTTCACATACGACCCGTACGACGACTCCTACCAGGCGATCCCGCTGAACAGCCATCACACAGTCTACATCACACCTGGAGCAGGACCAGGTAGCTCACTTCAGATCAGCTGATTCGTTTCTGCACCTCTAAAGTAAAAATACTCACAACCAAAACTCTTATGAAACAAAGCAGTAACTCAAGCAAACACAGCTCACTTTCATCCTCTCAGGTAACTTTTAAAAACCCACTCGCCGCATGATCTAATTGTAACGTAGAGCAGTAATTGTGCTCACCGCAGGAGTTCCCCAAATCAGGAATGAATAGAGTACACAAAAGAGATCTTTTTTTCCTTTTCCCGCTGGGCAATATCACCACTAATAACAGCTATAAGTATGCTAATTTTTATAATTGTCTTTTAGTATAATTGTTTGAAGTGCTTACACCTGTTCAACAACAGCAGACGAGCTTGGTGGGTGCAAAACGGCCCGTTTTATTCTGACATCAACATCAGAGTTCAGGTAAAACAGGAAATAATCTCAAAAACAAAACCTACCTACATGATGTTTATTCCAGTAGAGAAACATTTGGTTTTCAGACTAAAACATGGTGGTAATCTGGATGATTAGAGTTGAAAAATGAAGTAAATAGAATAAAATTTGACATTGTTTATAGCTTAATCAGTGCTCTGGTATTTGTTATTGTTTATGTTTTGGCTAATACCTCAATATTATCACCCACCATAGTCTTTAAGTAAGCCAGTGATAAAAATTTAATGAATTTTCTTGTGCTTCCAGCAGCTGAAAAACAAAATTTCTAGTAAAAATATAGAATTTTTGTTTTGCACTTAATACACTCAGCATCCCAGTGCTCACTAAAACAACAGAACATCTTTACAAAGTTTTAAAGTTAAATCTAAACTAATTTTGTGTGACTTAACGCCAAAAACGTCACTCACTTGGGTCAGAAATGGTGAAAACTGAAGAGTTATTGTTATATAAAAAGCTGTTTGATCACAGATCTAACCACCACCTTCAAGCCCCTCCCACATTGAAACTTGGCAAACATGACAGCTGAGGCCATTAAATATAAACATGTCCCCTCTTTTCTTGTGTTGAAGGAACCCACCAGGTGGTTGTTCAAAGGGATCCCTTTGATGGAGTTGCTGAGAGCGTTGCACTGGGATTACTGGCAGGTGTGGCAGCGGGAGCAGCCATGCGCTCCTTCCTCTGGATGCCCTTCTTCTTTTGCTGACACCCCGCCGCCGTACAGTTACACCCGAGTGCTGCTGCTGCAGAACGGAATCAGGACATCTGAGAACATAGAAACGCTTCGCTATCACTTTTGATCGTTTCTGTGTATTTCAGAGACAAATAAGCTGCTTTTCCTCATCTATAATAATAATAATAATAATAATAATAATAATGCATTGAACTTATATAGCGCTTTTCTAGACACCCAAAGACACTTTCATACACTCTCACATTCATACACTGCTAGTGATGGTAGGCTACTTGTAGCCACAGCCGCCCTGGGGAGGTCTGACAGAGGCGAGGCTGCCATTTGGTGCCGTCGGCCCCTCTGACCACCGCTAACACAGGCAAGTTGGGTGAAGTGTCTTGCCCAAGGACACAACAGCAGGATACCCCTGACGGGAGCTGGAATCAAACCCATGACCCTCCGATCATGAGGCAACCCGCTCTACCACCTGAGCTACTGCTGCCCCATCTTGATATGATGGACGTTTCTATAAAAACAAAGTCATTTTAGTGATTATTGTTGAGTTTTGCACTTGGCTAGCATTAGAAAAGCACAATTCATGACCTGCTTTAGTCTGTATTAAAACTTAAAGGTGAATGAAGTAAGAATGAGATCTTGAGGTCAGATTTGGGTACTGCATTTTGTGTATCAAAACAAACCGGTCCACTGTGAGCAACGGTTGCCTGTTACAACTCTGCACCAGAAGGTTCTAGATGATAAGCTAAGATGAGTCGTACACATTGAGTTGGTAGAGAGCAAGTCACCCCCTACCAGATTCTTACTCCACTCCCACTTCCTGTTTGAAAAATGCAACAAATGCTGTTGCCTAGCAGACCGAGAGGGCGGAGCCGCTAACAAATACACACACACAGGCTCACAACGACATTGTGACATCATATGGTACCAGCTAACGTTCTAGGGTACCTCTTAGCCAAATTCAAATGCAGTGCAGAGTTTTTACCTGACAACGGCACAACACTGACAGTTTTAGGCAGAAAATTAAAATTTTAACTAAAATGCTCTAAAGTGCAAAACTATTGACTACACGTGTCTGCAGCACGATTAGACACGCATTTACATAGTTTATCAGAAGAAAATGTTGATTTGGGGGTGACTTGCTCTTTAAGTATAAATTAATTTTGCCGTAAAATCGAGTTGCTTCAAATTTTTGAAAATAGTTCAAAAAGTAACTCGAGATATTTTTAGAGCGGACATTTTTTTCCACTTCACCATTATCATTGCTAGCTCAACGTTAGCCTTTAGCCTTCTTTTCCCTGACATTAGAGTAAAACATAAAGATGGATGAGCTCACGCATGACTGGCTCTGGAACCAGGAAGAACGGAGGCAAAACAGATTGTAAATGGCTGTTTCTAAGTTCCAAAGTATGCTAGTACATTCTTGTGTACTTGACAAGTACGTTCTTCGCAAGTACAGTAGAAAGTATATTCTAACAAGTACGGAGGATGGTATTTGGAACTGAACCTTACTACATCACATCACAGCTACAAGCTTTACGCTACAGTTAAAAAAAATGACCTGACATTTTTAAAAAGGTCTATTTTGTACCTTAAAATACAAAATAATTAATTTTGTATAATATTTGCTACACTTTGATGAAATTAAAAAAATGCCAGGATTTCCTGCTGTTAAAAGAAGAATAAAAAGTTCATTTTTCCTCCAGGCAGTTATTTGTGACAACGCAGGTTTTATTTTGATATTAGCTAATTAGCATTCTAAAGTATCGTGAAACGCGCACAGCCCAAGTTCCCAGAAGGATGCGCTGATGTGTCCTTGATACAACTGGCCGAGCAAGAACACTTTGGAGAACCCAGAGCGTACTTGCCATGATATGTACTTAGGGTCTGAAGAGTACTTGGGCCGACGTTGATGAGGTTTCACAAGTACACGAGCACACATGTTCTGGCAAATATGTTTATTAAAAAATGGCCAAAGACCGTCAGTCTTCATTCTTTTTTAAAAAACAAAAACCAACGTCTCCCAGCCGGCTGAGACAGAACTCCGTTCCATCATGATTCAGATATTTTAGACTGTTGACTTCCAACTCACTGGACCTTTAAGCTGCGGGATCAAAACATGACTTCCTTTTTTATGCAAACACCAGAAAATGCCACCAAATTGTCCTCGGTGGGCGTAACAAACCCAACGTTTATTCCAGAGCTCCCAAAAGTAGAACATGGTCTCCAGCAGCAGCAGTGTGTGTGTGTGTGTGTGTGTTCTTGTACATGCTACCTACTGTGGACCATTTTCCCTACAATGTGAGGAAATTTTTTGGGTCCTCACTTTTTTAGAAGCTTACTATACTAGTTAGAGGTAGGGATGCACCGATACCACTTTTTTTGGAAAACGAGTATGAGTACTTGCATTTCAGTACTCACCGATACCGAGTACTTAATAAAAACATGATTTAAATTTACAGGTAACAGCTTTAGTCGTATAATTTAACAAATAAACAAGGCACTAGTTTGGAATTAAGAACATTTATTTAACATGAAAACTGCAGCATCTGTTATGCAACACATTAAGGCCCTAATGGTGGACCGTGAAGGTGGCTTGTACGACAACACGATGGTAAAATGTTGATAAAACTGTCAGCGAACCCGTTTTCGTGACCGAGGCGAGGTGAAAAAGCTGCTCAGACAAGAATTTGTCACCAACATAAATGTTTAATGTCTTTGTTTAAAACAGGTCCCCCCCCCCCCCCCACACACACACACACACACACAAACGACAACATTATCTGATGTTGCTTCAGTGCAGACATTTAAAATGAAAAGTATGGCAATGAAGGGACTTAACATGCCCTAAACCATCTTTATAATCAGATCACTAACGAAGCATCACAAGATGTTTTCAGAGTTTTAGCTTCCTGGATGAAACTGAAAGAATTGGCACCAGTAATGGTTTTCTTCAGCCGCAGGGGCGCTGATTAATCGACTGACACCATTAAAAGTTTACACGTCAGATTAAAAATTCTTGTCTTAATTATTGCACAAGAGGTTCAAACAAGCTGCAATGAAACGTTACATCCCAGGTAAACAGGAACACAGAGCTGCAGACAAACCCAAGCACCAAAAAACACGAGAAATCTGAAACACCAATGGATGAAGTAGCTCTAAATGATCCCGTTTATTCTGGAAACATAAAACAACATGAAGAGTTTCTGTGATTCAACGTGGCAGAAATGTGTATCTATTAAGATTTGAGCTGCAAAAACTGTTGGTTGGAAATGATGTGTGTGTGTTTTTATTTGCAGCTTGCCTTAACACAGGTTGTTTTTGTTCCCCTCTAACAGAGGCAGCGAGTGCAAACTTGACATCGCTGCTACAGGTTTCGTCTCGTTTCATTATTCTCATTAACAGTCAGCGTTTGTCACTGTTGTGCAGCAGCTCCAGCTTTTAGTTGCTCCTCAGGTTTTTCACTCTGCCACTTGTAGGTTTCCAAAAAAGCACTTAACTTTTGCACCGATGACCCAGTCTGTCACTTTCCAGGTTGGATGATTTTTATGTGTGAAAACAGCAAAACTCACCTCTAATGATGTGGATTCGTGGCTGCTGGGTTCTGAATCTAAAGGCTTATTTTGGCGAACAGGAACTCTTGATTTTTTTGGGAGCATTTTTTCCAGCTGATTAAAAAAGTGTAACACGCCGTCTCTCACCATTTACTCCTCCTTACACGCCACTCCCCTCTCGCCGTTTGCCTGACCTTTCCCCAACTTTCCCTCGGCTTGAAGTTTCCGGATCAGAGCGATGGGACCCTTGCCCATCAGAGCGGACGGGTGTCTGTAGGAGCCTCCCAGGCGGTCCCACAGAGTGAAGTACTGGCCGTAGTTGTAATCAAAGAAGAGATGGTGGTCGGTGTGGTGAGCTGCCCCGTTGATGACGCTCGTCAGAGAATCTGGAACGCGATAGTCGCCATCATGGATGGAGATGGTCCAGATGTTGACGAAAACGTAGAGAGCCAAGTAAAGCACCTTGTGGAGGGGGAAGAGGAAGGGGTAGATGTGGTACGGGAGGCCCTGCAAGAAGCCATCAACTGGGTGGAAGGCATGGCTCGCAAAAGGAGTGGGGATCTTCCAGATGTGGTGAGGCTTGTGGAACATCTGTTGAGGGACAAGAGGGAAAATCCTGTTCCATTTGATCTCCTTGTTTATTCATTTTAATAAAAGTAAAAATAATTTGCAACTAAACAGCACCCACACAACTTCTCTACATTAAATCAGCCCTAAACAGACAAAAAAACAGCTGCCACTTAGCTTAGCTGCCTTACGCTAACATGTGCTAGCCTTGCTAACGTGTGGCTACAGCTGGCACTTAGCTTAGCTGCCTTAGGCTAACATGTGCTAGCCTTGCTAACGTGTGGCTACAGCTGGCACTTAGCTTAGCTGCCTTAGGCTAACATGTGCTAGCCTTGCTAACGTGTGGCTACAGCTGGCACTTAGCTTAATCACAGCGTAAATCACCAATGCAATGTTAGGTCATGTTAACACTACATCCAAAAATGATCAAGTAAATTATCTTCAGCGTTACTTGTTTTGTTTTATGGTCACACGCTAACGTGATCAGACTCTGAGTGTGTCACATCTAAAATGGTCCGGGCGGAAACAGTTCTCTGTGCCATGCCTTTCAGTCCCACAGAATGTGGTGACTCTGATCTCACTGTTTTAGGCTCCGTTCACATGGCAGGAGTTTTTAAAACGTTGGAGGACTCTCAAAATGTAATTTAAAAAAATCACTAATGGATCAGCTTTGGTCCTACAGTGTGTGGTCTGCAGCAACACGGCAAAAACAACACATGAACCCATTTCACACACACACATTCACCGTTCAGACAGGAGATAGAAATAATTGTGATCATAAGAGTAAACAAACGTGGCGGGAGACGATCGTGATGCGTGCTTCCATCACCTCACTTCCTGACTGGCTATACGTCACATTCATCAGGCAGCGTGCTTATCGACTTTAAAAAAATCAGACGAGACAATCCAATAAGTTTAAAAACCCGACTGATGATCTGAGCAGTCTCGATGTGCTTCCAAGCATACCAGAGCACTCGTAACACGTGTGTCAAAAATCTGTCTAATTATCTTGTCGTGCCAACCAGACATCAATACGTAGACGCCCCGTTACGCACTGAAGAGTGACATGGTGTCGCCACCATATTGTTAACGAAGCTATGCAAAAAATAAATTAAAAAAAATTGTCACCTTAACAGTCCTGCAGGACAAAAGCTATTTTTGCCAACAGAGGCTGTTGAGAAAGCTATCAACTAGGGTTGTCACGGTGTGAAGATTTAACCTCACGGTTATCGTGACCAAAATTACCACGGTTTTCGGTATTATCGCGGTATTTTTTTCAGACAATTAAATAAACCCTGTATATCAGGAAAATATTGTCCTCAGTTTGTGTCTAAATTTTGCCTAAAATGTGTTATTTTGTAATTATGTTGTTTATTTGTTTACATTTTTTCCCTTTAGTCTTTAAAATACCAATATTTGCCCATAACTTCTTATTTTTTGTCTGTTTGATGTCATCATTTTAAAAATATCAGATCAGATGATACTCAGTACTCAAGTAGACTTCTAATCAGATACTTTTTTACCCTTACTTGAGTAATAAACCCTATATCAGGAAAATATTGTCCTCAGTTTGTGTCTAAATTTTGCCTAAAATGTGTTATTTTGTAATTATGTTGTTTATTTGTTTACATTTTTCCCTTTAGTCTTTAAAATACCAATATTCACCCATAAATTCTTATTTTATGTCTGTTTGATGTCATCATTTTAAAAATATTAGATCAGATGATACTCAGTACTCAAGTAGCCTTCTAATCAGATACTTTTGTACCCTTACTTGAGTAATAAACCCTATATCAGGAAAGTATCGTCCTCGGTTTGTGTCCTTCCAGTGAGCTTTGCAGATGTGGGAAAATGTCATCAGGCAGTAATCGTTGTTAAATTCATAATTATTCTCGGAGAGAGACCAACTCTTATCTGCCCCTGGGAGCCCCGTAATGCATAGCGTCATTTCAACATGGCGGTGTCCGCGACACGGTTTATATGCAGGTAGCGGCGCTGCGGCTGCTTTATATAGCCACTCGTTGCATTCTCCCTCAACCCAAATCCTCGGATCACGCATTTTAGCGAAAACGCTAACATTAGCTTGCCTTGCGTTGACTGTAGAGTTGTGGGTGATGGTCACGCAGATGTGTCATGAGATTTGAAGCGTTGCTGCCTTTCACAGACACTTTTTCTGCTCGTGCTGCAAACAGGATAGCCGTCTTCTATCAGCTGTCCCTCGGCATTCTTCAGATATCCAAAAGATGCCCGTACTTCCCACTTTGTCTTCTTTGAGGGATAATAAATGTCCTCCTGAGCGCTGCCGTCTCCTCCTTTGGCCATTATTTCAGCTTTAGCTTCAAGAAAGTTTTGGTTGTAAACAACAAAGTGCTCATGTGCCGCCGGCAACTTCAGCAGATGATACGGTGGCTGGTAAGGGTCACCGCGCCTACACCGCAGCCACGGTAACCCACCGAGATGATATAGTTTTTTTTTAAAACAAGACTGTTATTATTATTGTCAACTTTTTTACCGGGGTTTACCGCTACACCGGTTACCGTGACAACCCTACTATCAACATGTAAGATATTATTTATAATTTTTACATAAAAATACACCTTAAGCTGGTTTTAAACAGGGCACAAGCCCACAACTATTAAACAGTAACCTGCTGGCTGCACTGGAGCACACTCTTAGGACAGCTACAACTTTAGGAGATCTGTAGGATAGTGGATTGTGACCCGACTGCAGGAACGAGAGCGAGCTGCCAGAAGAACAGAAGAACCGATCAATGTCATTTGTTTTTGATCCTGACTGTTTCAAAGACGTTCCGGTCGATAAACACGTGTAAGAATGTCAGAAATGACAACATCAGGTTTTCTGTAACCTCATCAAAAGGATGAATCACATTACAAACATCCACATTTTCACATCAATGTTTAAAAAGGTGTTGGATCTGATTTGAAGCACAAACACACAGCAGACCGACAGACCTTGTAAATGAGCTTATGGTGCAGGAAGCGGTGGATCCAGTAGATGCACATGTCGGTGAAAAGCAGGAAGGAGACCATGCTCAGGAAAAGCCCCGACCAACCTTAGAGCAGAGGTCAGGGCAGCAGCAGGTGTGAGATAAGACTTTACGACAAATATATGGAAAAAACAAAAAAACAAAAACAGAAAACAAACAGAGACATCTTTCCCCTGACCTACCTAGCGGGGAGTCGCTGACGCTGTCATAAAGTTTGCTGTAGCCTCGAACTTCGGCAAAGAACAAGGCCACAGTGGGAACGCTGATCCAGGGCAGAGAGGTCATCGCATATTTGATTTCTCTCCATACTTGGTTCTGAGGAGAGTACAAGATCATGAACATTGTTGTGTGTAGTTGACAGAAAGCGACGCTGATAAAAACAAATGAGTTCACATCAGTCTGCTTCAGTAAAAGGTCATCTGGATTCAAGTCAACCGGGGTTCCTGCAGAACGGTTCTTTCCAAACCCGCCTACCGGTGCTTCAGAGGACACATTTTACATTCAAGCTAAAGAGCTGGATGCAAACTTGCAACATATGCTTAAATGTTTACTATCTAAATGTTTTACAAAGACAAGGAAAAGCCCAGTCTGTAAACAAAAATGTGTTTTAAATTATGCAGCTGGAGGTAATGAAGGTCCAGGCAGGGAATGTGCTTTTTCCAGGAGAGTTGATGCTTGGAAAGAGAACCGGGTGGAAAAGTATTAATGAACATCACACCGCCGTGTGTATGGATGACACAAATGGAAACAATGGAGGAGACGTGTGCTGCCAGTGTGTTATGCCGTCATTCTGCCATCTTTATCTGCACTAGCTTTTTAAAAAGCCACAACACTCTTATGAGTTTAGCCTTCAGAAGAAGGAGTGGTACTTTAATAAAAACTCTTTATTTTGATCTATTACATTGTTTTTGTGACTTGCGAAATAGAAAAATTAATTTAATAAATTGCATAATCCCACTATTTTTAAGCAGTTTAGATAGGAAATAATTATGGCAAAAACTTTTCCTTCCTCATTGTTTCCCCTTTAAAAAACAACTAAAGCTGCAAATGTGTCTTTCAAAAAGATTGTTATTTCTACTAATTAAATTAATCTTATCCAGGTTCACAAACAGCAAAACGTACAAAAATGTTGCTGGGTGATTAAGACTAACGCTCGTATGCTATGATATTGTATGTTAGGTGTGAGTCGCATGCCTGCTTTGCAGGAATAAGACTCGTCAGAACGCATGAGATAAACAAACCTCGTGAACTACCGATTACATTAAGGCTTACATTAAAAGTTGAGTGACAGTTGGAAGCAAAAGACTGTAAAAGTTGGCAGGTGAGCTCGGGAATCTCTCCAAGTGTTTAAGAACCAAAGTTCAACTGATTGCAGGTTTCAGCAGAGCCAGCCCCCTCCCTCCCTCCCTCTCTCGCTCTGCAGCAATTATTAAACAAGAAACGGGCGTCTGACCTCTAAGAAGTGTGGATGTTTCATTAGATTGTGGTCAAAGATGAAAAAGTAGCTGATGGCTCCCAGGCCCAGGTACAGGACGGCAGCCCCGAGGTTCGTCAAGACCAAGAGGCTGATGATTTGCCGCTGGGCCCCGTCCTCAGGCCACGACGACGGGTACACGTATGGCGTGAGAACGTAATGATCAGCAACGTTCAGAACAAGGTCCATGGCTGGATCTGGAGAAGGGGAGAGAACCAAATTCATCTGACAGCTTCCATTTCTGTTTTGCTTTAAAAGCATGTGGGTTGTCCTAGTTCAGCAAAAATATTGAGAACTTTGAAATATATTATTGAATAAATTAAGTATATAACTGAAAACCATCTGATTCCTGCAGCGTTCCCAAACCCTCACATGTTGACAGCTTTATAATTCAGAATTCCCAAATTTAATGCTGAATTTTATAATTTAAAAGTAAAATTATAGTTTTAATTATTTAAAATCAAAACAACAAAATAAAACATACCTCCACTTTTGAGTTACTTAATCGTCTCATTTGTTTATGAGCCCAAACATGTACAGCTTCATTAATCATTATATATTTGTTATATTACCAGGCTAACCCTAAACGATCCTTGGTGGTGTATCAGGCTGTCTGCTTCAACTTTTGTGATAATGCCTCCAGACACACCAACTTATTTCGTTTACATGTTAACCCTTTGATGCATAATGGTCGCTACAGTGGACAGGTACTCAAAATTGTTATTTATTTGTTTTTGCTATTAAGCACAGCTGTTGAAGACTTTATTGGATTTGAGCCCCTCCGTTTGGACTTCAGTAAGCCAAGCCAACATATTTCATGTTCAGAATGCACGCTGTCCACTGAGGTGGACATGTAATAAATTATTTGTAAATTATAAAATTTTACAAAAAATATTTGTTGAAATTTGTTTCATTCACACCTAAAGACGAATGAAAAAAAATTGTTAAAAAAACATGGTTGAAGATTTCATAATTCATGCATCAAAGGGTTAAAAACAGGTAAACGGGGTCATTAAAAATACCTGTTTTCTTTTAGTCTAAAATTAAAATTCCCTCAAAAGGACTTCATAAGAGTTTTACTGCACAGAAATGTAGATTAAATCAGTAAATGTAGATTAAATCAGTAAACCACGAAGGTAGTCGAGCTAACTTACTGCTTGTGACAGCAGTCCTGAATGAAAACGGTGAGAGACTGCATTAAGAGCAGAAGCAGCCACTAAATGACACGTAAACGTCTAACTTGTTACAATAAATTATTTTATGCCTTGTTATAAACTTGACATTAAGTTTTAAATCTATTTTTAGGTGAATAACGGAGCTACGTACCTTTCAGGTTGCTAGTATCCTGGATGACCGAAAGAAATGTGCGACCAATTAAAAACCTAGTTTCATTTTACGTCATATAAATTTAATCCAATCAGCGTTGAGTTTTTGCAACAGACCGCCTTGTTGTGATTTCTAATTGGTCGGCTGGAGGATCTGATCATGGCGTTACAAAAACAGAGCAGGTTTTGAGCTGAGGAACTTCCGTGCCCACTTCTTTTTTAATCCGGACAGTTTATTGTGAGACTCGCAGTTCAGTGAGTCAAAGTTTATTTGCTTTATTGATAAAAACATAAAAGCTGGCGTTTTATTGATAACCTTAAAGCATACAGTTGTAATAGTATTAATAATATGATTTGATAACTGTGTTAGTAACCGGCTGATAATGAAGGATACCTGAAATATCCTGAAATTCTTCATGTTTTCTAATCAATGAAGCGAACCTGCAAAGATGAATGTAGGAACATTAGGGCTAATACAAAACAGGTGTGGGAACAATGAGAAGGATATAATTGCTATTTTATAAATTTTAATAATTTAATGCTTATGAGGCCTTGATATAAGTCTCTGGCAGATCTTGGACTTATAATAAAGTTTATTTATGGTCATTCCTAACGTTAAATGACAAAAACTCGCCAAGATTTAACAGCTGCTTTAATTGAAGTGGCACCCATCAAGCCACTAGATGTCAGCATTGCCCTAAAGTAAAATTGAAAATGAACTTTTTTAACTGTTGCGTGTGTTATTGGGCAATATGAGTGAGATGCATCTGGAGACTGGCGTGTTAAGGACAAATATATTTAGTGGATGTTTGATTAACCATCTTGAGGGGCTGCAACACAACTGCATAGGGAATAAGAATATATATATATATGAATATTTTGAAGAACACGTTCAGATGACACTAAAACAAAACTTACATTTAGAATCCCAAATAAGACCTACATTACACCCAAAACAACCACTTGATTGTAGTATTATTAAACATCATCCTTGTATACATTATTAAACCTTGTTTATTTGCCTGAAGCCTTCTCTGCTTGCGAGAAATAGCTGTTTTGAATCGAGCTGCAGTTATCTAACAGTCTGTGAAGGCATCTCACTCCATGTGCCGACAAACTTGAAACAATCAGGATGTCTGCGGGGAGGCAACCCTCACGCTGAGCCCCAGATAACCTGCTGCTCATCGTCTCCAACTTGTCAGTTCAGCTTTTAACTCGCTCATATAGTTCATTATGTTTTGCTGCATTGCTTCTCCTGTTAGGAGCTCCCGTTATAGGACTCTCCACTACAGAACTTGGCCTCCTCCTGCAGCTTCCTGTCGTACCAGACACTCGTTTCCTGTAATAACCCTCCTGTTGGCCTTCTTCATCCCTGTCAGCTCCATCTTTAGAACATCTCTCGTGTATATCCAAACCAACTTCGGACTCTTATCACCTTCATCCTGACCATCCCCGTCATCCTTCTCTTGTCTTTTAAACCTTCACTTCCTCCCTCCTCGTTTTCCACCCTCAGCAGAATCGTCACATTCAACATCACTAACATTCTGCAGCTTGTCTCTCCTGTTCTGTTATAAATCATTTCTGACATTTGTCTCTACCCTCTTCACCCAAGATGTGCAGGAATTATCTTGCAAACAACCAGAAAGGTTAATTAAGCACCATTTGTGCTGTCTACACAGCTTGTGGGGCCTTTTCGGGTTGAGGATGGAGTCGAGCTCAACTCCCAGTCCTACTGCCAGTTTCTGGAAGACACCTTCTTCAAGCAGTGGTACAGGAAGAAGTCTGCATCCTTCAAGAAAAACATGATTTTCATGCAGGACAATGCTCCATCACACGCGTCCAAGTACTCCACAGCGTGGCTGGCAAGAAAGGGTATAAAAGAAGAAAAACTAATGACATGGCCTCCTTGTTCACCTGATCTGAACCCCATTGAGAACCTGTGGTCCATCATCAAATGTGAGATTTACAAGGAGGGAAAACGGTACACCTCTCTGAACCGTGTCTGGGAGGCTGTGGTTGCTGCTGCACGCAATGTTGATGGTGAACAGATCAAAACACTGACAGACTCCATGGATGGCAGGCTTTTGAGTGTCCTTGCAAAGAAAGGTGGTTATACTGGTCGCTGATTTGTTTTTGTATTGTTTTTGAATGTCAGAAATGTATATTTGGGAATGTGGAGATGTTATACTGGTTTCACTGGTAAAAATAAATGATTGAAATGGGTATATATTTGTTTTTTGTTAAGTTGCCTAATAATTATGCACAGTAATAGTCACCTGCACACACAGATATCCCCTAAAATAGCTACAACTAAAAACTAAAAACTTCTTCCAAAAACATTCAGCTTTGATATTAATGAGTTGTTTCAATTCAAGTTTATTTATAAAGCGCCAAATCACGACAAGAGTCGTCTCAAGGCACTTCACATAATAAACATTCCAATTCAGGTCAGTTCATTAAGCCAATCAGAAATAATGTTTCCTATATAAGGAACCCAGCAAATTGCATCAAGTCACTGACTAGTGTCAGTGACTATACAGCAATCCTCATACTAAGCAAGCATGCAGCGACAGTGGAGAGGAAAACTCCCTTTTAACAAGAAGAAACCTCCAGAGAATCCTGGCTCAGTATAAGCAGCCATCCTCCACGACTCACTGGGGATCGAGAAGACAGAGCAGACACACACACACAAACACACACACACACACACACACACACACACACACACACAAACACACACACACACACACACACACACACACACACACACACACACACAAGTAATGTGTCTATAGTTATATTGTGATGTCTTAGTAAATATTCTATTTGGTGAAAGATAAACTTTATTGTATTTATCCTAGTGGATCTATGATTAAACGGGTAAACTAGTAGTAGCACATCCAACGTCAAAGAAAGTAAAAAGTTATTATCAGGAGAGGGAGAATGTTTAAGTGGTTAGCAGCAGTGTGCTAGACGATGGCCCCCTCCATGAGGCCACCACAGCTCAGCAGAACATCATTGTAGCTTCTTCTGGGGAGAAAAACACTTAGAGAGAAAATAAAGTTAACAGCTGAAATAGCTTGAAATAATACAGTTAAAGAGCAGATTGTAGAAGAAAGCAGTAGAGTGTGAAAAGTGGTCAGTGTGTCCTCCAGCAGTCTAAGCCTATAGCAGCATAACTACAGAGATAACTCTGGATAATCTATCCTACTTAGATGGAGGCATGTTGGAGGCAGGGCAAGGGAGAGCCGTCTTTACCGACTGTACACTCCACCTCCCTCTACTCCCCCACTTGTCCAGATTTAGGTGTAAGGTTATGAAGTTCATCATTTTCAGCTCCACACAGCTGCCCCTGTACACAGTAACACCCGTGTAGAAAAGCCAAGGTCGGGTGTTCCTCAGACTGTTTACATTCCAGGAGAAGAGCCAGAAGGAGGAGAAGAAGCTTTACTTAATCAAAGTACTTTATTTGTGATTAAAATTATTAAGCAAAACATATGTTGATCAATAATAATCAAGTGAATGATCTGTGAAATAAATATGTCATGATTTATGTTTAATGAAAACAGGACTACGGCACAGACATACTGATCCTCATCTCCATAGAAACGCATGACACATTGTTCCAACCAATCAGAGCTTTCGGCTGCCGCAGGAGAATCTGGTGTTGACTTCAAGTGTCCAATCCGCTTTACACCAACTTATCAACAATTCAGAGATATAAAACAAGGCAACGCCATTTTAAGCTCAGTTCCATTTTGACTTCAGTTCTATTCACCGTCATCCTAAAGAAAAGCACAGACTGGCCAGATGTGTTTTCTTCTTTAAACTAAGAACTGTGAAGCTGGAGATTTTCGTCGTTTAACAACCAGACGACATCCTTTCAAAATAAGAGCACCTGCTGACGCCGTCGATTGGTACCGGGGTCGACCCTCCAGACGGGCTTTGAAACGCTGCGACCGCTGCGCCGACAGCTCCAGCGCACTTCCGAGGTCTCCAGACCTGGCAATTCCTGATCTACCTGGGAGGCCTCCACTGGGTACGTACACGGCAAAATAGCGGCTCATGTCATCACTTTATAAGCCTCGTGATATCTAGTCATAACAAAGACGACCAGATTCAATGACGTCAGCCTAAAGAGTCTGAACCAACCACACACACACACACACACACGCACCAACACAACATCCAAATCCATTTTCATCCATCACAGAGTTAGTCCTGGTAGATTGTTTAGAATTTATAATCAAGAAATTAAAGATTCTCAAACGATCCCATCTCTCTCTCTTTCCTTGTCTCAAAGTCAATACAGAGTGTTTAAATGAACTCCCTGATGATAAAAACAACCTATTCTTCTGTTTATAAAAAGTGATCTACTTACAGTGTATTAAAATACAACTCTAGATAGTTTCATCACTTCAATTCCGTTACATATGGCGAGCCTAGCTTGATATCTGCACAGTTTATTACACTTTGTGCCGATTTTGAGACATTTTGGGATTTTTGTTCAGTGTGAGTTCAGAGGAAAGGCGATCATTTCCTCATTCAGCTCTCAGAAAGGGGGGTGCACATTCATCACCCTCCGACAGGAGGCGCTGTTTCATCAAAACACCTTAAGTGCTGACGTGTGCTGACGGCCATTTTGAGGCCTACATCTAAGGGTAAACATTTCTCCTGTTTTAATACGTTGGAACCGTCTGTTTATTGTTTGTCGCGGTGTTTGTGACACTGTGTGCATCCATTTGTGTAATCGGAGACGGAAGACTCCGTCGGAAATTTATTTCCGTTCAATAAGCGCCGGATCCGCGCTGTTCTGTGTCGGAATACTCGTTAGCACCTACCGTAGCTTAACTTGCTTGGTAAACGCTGTAAGTCGGGCTATTACCGCTGGGCGATACTGCATCCAGATTGCGTACGCTGTTGAAACCCTTTTAATCACGGAGCGAGATGCCCGTTGGTTGATTGAGGCAATTTTGAGACCCTGGTCGCTCCAGGGCGTTCGCTAGCGTTAGCCGACGAGCTAACTAGCCACTCTCGGTGAGAAGGCTCGGGAACGCGTCCCACGAAGCTTTCTAGCCGTTCGG